TTTTTCATGAGTCTTAGTTTTCATCTAATCATGCTACATGTTCTTAAAATCTCCAAGTTGCATCTATTCATGTTTTCCATCTCATGCTTCAAGATAATCGTGTCATATGTCTATTGCTTTTTCATATACTCTTGTGGGACTAATAGTTGTTTTTGAGATTGTGGCACTAATAGTTATTTTGCAGATCATGACCTTGAGAAAGAAGTTTGTTTTTGTTGGCTGTTATGGGTTGGGGTGATTAGGATTTTATTTGTTAGGTGTGTTTTGTCACGGCATTGCCAAAGGGGGAGATTGTTAGGTTTTTATTCTTGGCAACCCCGTTTGACAAAACTCTTTTAAGTTGTATTTGTTTTTTCACTTTTTATTTCAGTGAGGCTATGAGTGTTTAGATGCGAATCCAACCCGAATTGTGCTTTGCGGAGAAGTTTGTGATGCTAACACTTTTAAGAATGCCACTTCACTGATTATGATGGGGATCGAGCTGCCCGGTCAGCTCGCAGGGGTCGAGGGGGCAGCGCCCCTTGGCGAGTCCGGGGCAGCGCCACGGCGAGGTTGAGAGGCAGCGTCCCTGAAGCAAAATGAAAAATTGCATTCAAAGTTGCATGTCTGCCCTTGCTCGCTCGAGCGAAGGCTGCGTCTGTGTAAAAACCTGAAAGAGTCGAATGTACGCTCGAGTGAAGGGTGCGTGGCTCGAGCGAAGCCACTTATGGAAAACACGCATTTTTGGTTCCTCGCTCGAGCGAGAAAGGCTTCGCTCGAGTGAGCATCGCGATTCAGATTTCTATAAGTACGTGTTTCTGTCAGATTTTAGGATTACTTCTCCAGATCTTCTTCTTGGGTTCTAGGGTTTATATCTGGGGATATTTTGCTAGTTTTCTTTGATGATTTGATTGAGTATTCAACTCATGGTTTAAAAAGTATACATCAAAGGATTATTTGTTTGTTTTACACAAAAGAGAGAGTTGTTCTTCGGTGGATTTTGAAGAATTCGAGCCTAAAGCTTTGGTGGATTCCGGAGTGGCTCATCGTCAAAACAATTCTGAGGTGAAGACAGGGTTTGAAGAGGCACATAGAGGTTGGTTCAATTCGAGCGTGGATTCGCTAGGTAATTGAGAGTATACTTGTGTAATTCCATTATATCTTCTTAGTGAATTGTTTTGTGACTGTTGCCCGTGGTTTTTTTTTTATCACAATTGGAGGTGTCCAATTGTGGTTTTTTCACATAAAATCGTTGTGTCGATTTGTCTTGATTGTTTGATTGAGATTGTTATATACTGCTTAAAATTGATACATAATCACAAATCAACATCTAGGGGATTTCTAGATTTTTCACTATTCATGAATCCATCAATACATCCAACTTCACAAAGCAAATATTTACAATCAACCTCCTTCATAAAACAAAAGATAAAATTATATCCTAGAGTGACCCTAAGTAAACCTCAACTACCAGATGCTCACATTTGATCTTTCAGAACCTCTAGTCTTCCAAGTTGAGGCGAGCCACACAAAAGTCTAGGAATCTTAAAAAAAAAAAAAAAAATTAATTAAAAAAGAATTAGCTAGAGCCCAATGAGTTTACAAATCTCATGGAGTTATAAAGCTTGCTCCTTCCAATTGTGTTCAAAATAAGATAATAAACACAAGAGCTTAATTGGACTGAAATTTATACAGATTGAGAAAGTTTTGCATAAACTGTTATCAAGATTTTTCCAAAGAATCTCATAATGCATGAAAAATACATTTGGATAAGGAAAATAAACAAAAATACAACTTTTCAATACATTAAGATTGCATGCCCATCATACGAACCACTACATAGCTTTAGGGTCGCGTTACCTCGCGACTTAGGTGGTGACGGTACCGTTACCCAAAACATAACCATAGGAACATAACTCATGTAATCGTAGCACTTCAATTCTCATTTCAATGTTTCGGTTCCCAAGACCCCTTATGTACAATGACCCTTACGGTCCTTAAAACATTTCGGTCCCCAAGACCCCAATGCATTTAGGCCCTTGTGGCCCCCAAGACTATATTCGGCTATATGATTAATAAAAAAAATACTCTCGCATAACGTTTCATTGTTATTTAATCATCATCATCATAAAATTTGAAGGACTCAACTTAAATAAATTCTCATAAAAATTAATGCTTCATTATACAAATGAAATCATATATTTATTTAAAATTTAACCTTTGACCTCAATAAATTTATAGATTTTCTTTTTATACATATATCATGATGAAATGTGTTACTTCCTTTGATTCAAAAATATTTCAAACTTTGTATTAAAGATAAAGATAAGGTAAATTTCTGTAGTAAGTATACTCACCTCCAAAATAGCAAAAGTGTAGATTTGAAACCCTATGAGTTAATTCCCAAGAGGTGTAGAGACGCCTTCCTCCAATCCTAACAATTAGTAAACAAGATCTAAAATTAGGGGAAAGCTTTTAATGAAAATTACAACATCTACAAAATTGATCCTAAATAAGACATGCTATGGAATGAGAGCTAAAACTAAACTAAAGAACTCCTCCAACTTCAAGTCACCCAAACAAACAACTTATTCAAACTCCACAACACCCAAACTTTGTACATTTTTGAGTTATTAACTTTTTTAAATCTTCAACCAATTTATATGCACAATACCACCATCAATTAAACCACAAAAGTCAAAAATCAACATTTTCATAAACTCAACAATTTAGATAAAACCACTTCAATCATTAATAAAATTCCTCCAAAATCGTTTATAGAAACACAGAGACACCCAATCCACCATTTATCAAATCAATTTCAACATATAAATTTCCTAACACCAAAATCTCCAATTTTTACATCACATTCAAACCTAGATTAACCCAAATCTCAATCTCCAAAACAACCATCAAATTGATCATTTTTCTACATGTAAAACATTCATAAAAACTAATTGAGAGTATAAAACTTAACAATCAAACCCCAAATCATAATAGATCTAAAATAGAAAAAAAAATTCATTATCTCTAACTCAAAATATGTAAAACCTCAAACTAAACTTTTTAGAGAAAGATTCTTATCAATTAAAAGCCTCTAATCCATCAAAAAAATAAACCCCAAGCTTTGATTCTTAAAACGATTTAAGAAAAATCTAGAGTTGGTACTTCTATTGTGCTATTTTCAGATAGAGTGATGGAGTGGCCGACGGGACCCTTTTTTTGGCAAGATAAGATGGCCAGAGGTGGTGGAGATGGGGGTTTAAGGTGGTGGTGTAAGGGTGGAGCAAAGGTGGGGTGTTTGGCCACCAAGAAAGTAAAGGAAAATGAGAGAAAATGTAGAGAGATGTCATAGAGAGAAAAATGAAGACAATGAAGTAAAAAAATCTGCACTTCTTTTTTTTTTTTTATAGTTGAAATGGGGTGTTTGGTCACACCTATACTATCAAGTTTGGAGTTGGGTTTTGATATCCTAAATGGAGTTTAACTTAGGAGTGTGTTTGGCTCTAGATGAATGTTTGGAATATTATAATATATATGCGTATGAATGTTTCTTTGTATATGAATTTTTTTTGATGGGAAAATGATGAGATAGGGGGAGTGGAGGGTTTTGACTACTCAGATTAGAAGGGGTAGTTTTTTTGAGTTGATTAGTTAAGTAGAATAATGTATAATGAAAATTTTTAAAGTTAAGGTTTTGCAATGCAAGGGTTCTGAGTTTTGAATGTGTTTCCGAGTTTCTGATTTATTCATTTGGTTTAGAAAATCAATTCCATGCTAAAATGGTTAAAATTGATGTGAATTGGAAATTTGTTTCTATATCAAAAGTGAAAGAAATGAAGCACTGATACCTATTAGGAGGGTTTAGACTTCAAAAAAAAAGTCTAATCTAAGATTAGCGGAGATACATCAGTAACTGTAATACTTTCAATCTTCTAGGAAAACTGATACATGTATCAAATGCTCATATGGGAAAAAGCTTACACACTGGTTTGTAACTCTTCTACTAGTGCAATTTAAGTTGCCCAACAATTCAAAAAAAAAAAACAAAACTTTTGTTTCCCTTAAAATACAACAATTATACCAGCAAAACAAACAAAAGTGGCGAAAAACGTTGACAATTCAATGAAGGTACATTAACAGCCAAGAAGGGTAATTGTTATTCGAAAGGTAACAATTGAATCATATTGGATTGAGGTAGGAGGAGCAAATATATATATATATATTTTGGTAAACTACACTAACCTCTCTCTTGAGTTTATAGAGAAAATAGGTTGAGCCCACAAGTTTGGTATTGCTATATTGTGTTTACACATAAATTGCATTAGTTCTTTTATCAGCAAAGGAAAAGTTTATTAGAGTACAAAGAGAGTAACTTCAAGAGAAACATCAATAAGACAAGCCAAGTAAAATGCAACAAAGTAGAGAGCTAAACAAAACAAGTGGCTTAAACTCCCACACAGAAATCTGCAAAACCATTGGCTCAAATCAAGACCAAAACAGAGAAAACAAAGGCAAGCTTATGTCCTCAAAACCAAAAACACTCCGAAACCTCCCAAAAAGAATCTTGAAGAATTCATAAAAGTTAAGAGCTTAATTAATTAAACAGATGTCAAATTTGGCTTCGCTGACTCTGAATTTGCTTTGACTTGTCAATGGACTTGTTATACAAATCGCGTAGCATCTAGATGTGCTTCCGCAGTTCATCTGGCATGGAACAACATTGTCAAAATTTTGGGAAAAGAGAGATTATGGAAATCGCTATCCACAGGCTATAAGCACAATGAAAAGCAATACAGGATGCGAAGAAAAAACTATTAGCATACGAAGGAGTTGGAGATATGCTGTAAAACGCTATCCCATAGCTCACCATCAGAAACAACAAAGGAATGTGCAACATGAAACTAGAGAGTCGTAAGGGAAGCACAAATATCATTGCGGTGATCAAGGCAAGAAAGCATACCGTGTTCAGGGTAAAAAAATTGATGAAAAAAGATTCGTAAGTCATAGATTTCGTTAACTTGATTTCAGTAGGATTGTCGGTGGTGTCGGTGTTGTTGGTGAATATGGTGGCGTTAAAATGTGTGATGTTAGTAGAAATAAAATTGGCGGTGGTGATGGTGCGGTTAATGTAAATATGAGTGGTATTGTTATCGCGCATTACTCCGCCTGGAGGCTGAAGTAAAGCTTGGAATGTAGTTGTTGCGATCAGAACAGCTATGACAAGTATCATGTTTCGCTTGTCCATTGACATTTCTCTGTGCCTGTGAATGATTCGTCTGATTAGAGTTTGGAACCATTGGCGCGGTGATGTAAAAAATTCTCCAAGGTCACTAGCTAGGTATGATCATTCTAAAGCTCGTGCATGGCCTAGAGTATTCTCGATTTCAGTTTTGGCCTGACCGTTGGGAAGTGTTGCTGCAATGTCAAGAGCTGTTTGCTTCATCAAATTCTTTGCATTTTTGTCAACGTAGATCTCTTTCACTAATAACTTCACAATCTGTGTAAATGAAAAATGTACAAATCAATTATTTTATATTGGGTGTTGCTCATCGGCAGTTTTGGTTAAAGACCAAATTATTGGAAAAAAATGGATTTTTGGTGACTTTAATTAAATATTTAAGTGGGTCCCAACCATCTATTGTGTTTGGTCGAAGTGGGTCTAGATACTTTGCAATGAGATCTTTATACCACAAATAGAATGGCCAAAAATCATTAAGAATTGAATGAGAAATTGCCCCATGAAGTTAGCTTCATGAAAAAGTTAATGGAGTTTGTAATTTCTGCCTTTATTGTAAAGTTGAATAGTGCATTAATGGGGTTTGTAACTCCTGCCTTTGTTGCAGAGGTTAATGGTGCATTAGTGACCAGCCATAAAAGCTAAAGGCTTCTCCTCTCTCCCCTATACATGTATAAATTAAGACCCTCCTGCCAAGTCTCAAACACAAAAATTGTTTCTTCCATTCTTTAGTTGGTTTGCTAGAAATTTCTTACAGTGAGAGAGTCCTACCATGGTTTTGTTCGCTAAGTTAGACAGAGAGTGCTTCTGCCATAGCTGGTTTTTGATCGTCGTATCTTGGGAGACGGATGTCGGAATTCCTCAAGCACTCGACCCGTGAGGTGGCAAAATCTGTTTTAAGGAAACTGCTACCGTACAGGCTTCGGTTTGGTTTCTTTACCATTTTATTGTATTGTGTCTTTCTGCTGTAATTTAGTTATAATTATCAGCATATGTTCTTGGTATATAATTTTGATTTATTCGTGAATCTATTTATTTAATTTCACAATTTGAACAACAAGCTTAAAACAGATTTTCGATGTTTTCATAAATTATATAATTAGATTCATAAGATTGCAAGCTATTGTTTTACTTCTCACTGTCTATGGTTGCAATCCAATTTATTAGATAATTATTTTACGTTTATTAGATAATTTATGGTTGATTGTTTCCATTTTTTTTAATATGATTTGCATAACTTTTGAGTTTGTCATGTTCTGATTTTAGTTGCATGTTTGGTATTATAATAATAAATAAACAATACAACAGATGTGCTTGCTGCCTATTACAACCGTGCCCACTGTTGAAATTTTTTTTATTATAAATTTATTCAATATAATTCGCATGCTTATAGACTTTCAATTTGATGGTTTTTAGTCCACTAGTTTTTCCTGGAAATTCAATATTTGCAAATTATGCAAGTTTTGACATGTTATTTAGTTTCTAGCTTTTAGTTTTTCTTACCTGATTTAATCTTTAGATTTTTTTGCATGTTAATTGCTAAATGGTTATTGGTTTCTAACAATTATATATAATTATTGCCTATTAATTTTAGTTTAATGTATTTTGGAGTTATAGAGTTTTGTAACTTGTATGAATTTATGTACATGAATATTGTGTAATTTAATTGTGTGCATTCATCTGAATTTAATTGGGTGCATTAATCTGAATTATTTAATTGGGTGCATTAAATTTGAATTTAACTTATTTATTTGAAGTTATTAGTTTAATTCATTGGTTAATTTTATTAATAGTTGGCTAGATGGTTTCAATTATTTATTATATTTATTTTTCGCTTAGATTATTTGTTTGTATTTTGTTGTGGTTTTTTTTTGCTAACTTTCTTTACAGAAATACTTATGCCAAAGAGAATTAAAAAACAAATACAAAACCAAATGAATAGTATTTGGGATGTAAAAACAAAAATGTTCGGACTACTAACCTTTGTGTTGAATAGGAATACCTAAGCATGGAAAGGCTTTTGGACTAAATAGAATCCTTATGGATTGGCTGCTTTATTTAAATGTTGAAGCATGTTTTGCTTGAGATTTAGTTGGTTTGTTTACCAATTTGTGGTAGCAAGTTTTATTTGCTTGTTTTGTTAGAGGCATTTTATATGTGTGTAATTGTTATAGCAATTTTTTAACATTGCTTGTAATTTGGTTAGCAATTTTTAAATTGCTTGTAAGTTTGGAACTTTGTTTGGTTTTCTGCAATAGAAACCAAAGTGTTTAGCCTTGGCTAAAGAGTAATTCTTATTTGTTCAGAAATGACAACTAAGACGGATTTGGTTTCAAACCTTTGGAGTTTGAGGAAGTCTTTGGATTTAATCATTTTATTCCCAAAGTGTTGGAAAACCAAGTTTGGAGAAAGTCTTTGATTATGTCCAAAGTGTTTTGGTTTTGAGAAAGGAAACCAAATTTTAGCATTAGCTAAAATATTTTTGATTTTATTCAGAAATAATGGGTTTAGTTTTGGGAGTACCGGTTAACTTTATGAGTGGTGTAATTTTGGTAGCAAATTTTATTTGCTTGGAAATTAGTTTGTTATAACCTGGTTTATGCCCTGGAAATCTTAATTTTAAAATTGTTTCCCATGGACTAGGAGTCAACATGCTGTTGAAAGTTTTGTCAAAAGGTTAACTGCGTTTCAAGTGGGATTGTTGTGACTCCTCCAGTCTTCCTGGGAACATTCTTGACCATGTTCGATTCTAGGTTTAGTGGTGAGACTAATTTTGAATTAACTTTTCAACTATGAGATTTTTTAGTGTTAAGTTTAATTTCTGAAAACACAAAACGTGATATTCTGGTGTAATTTTTAGAAATGGCAACTATCACTGATGCTGCTGCTATTGCTAACATTAGTGGGGATTTGAACCCCGGGGCAACTAGGTTGCCAACCCCTACTACTGTGACCTCTATGGTCAACCTTGGTGTTACTCGGACTGTTCCGGGAGGACTGCTCAATCATCATGAGCGCCCAGAGAAATTTGCTGGGGTGAACTTCAAGAGATGGCTGCAAAAGATGCTGTTCTACTTGACCACGCTGAACCTTGCAAAGGTTTTGAGCGAGGATCCTTCAGCTGTGGCAGAGAATGACCGAGACAGGCAGAAAGTCATGGCGCTTGACACATGGAAGCAGACAAACTATCTCTGCTGGAACTAAGTGTTCAACAGCTTGGCAGACTCACTATATAGTGTGTTTTGTGCCAAGGGCTCAGCAAAGAAGTTATGGGAATCTCTAGACAAGAAATACAGGATTGAGGACGCCGGGGCAAAGAAATTTGTAGTTGGCCGGTTCCTGGACTTTAAGATGATTGATTCAAAAACTGTGATAAGCCAAGTCCAGGAGTTCCAAGTGATCTTGCATGAAATTCATGCTGAGGGGATGCCTTTGAATGAGTCATTCCAAGTAGTTGCTGTGATCATTGAGAAACTTCCTAATGGTTGGAAGGACTTCAAGAACTACTTGAAGCACAAGCGCAAGGAAATGTCAGTTGAAGAGCTGGTTGTTCGACTTCGGATTGAGGAGGATAATAGAAAGAAATGAAGGAGTACCTCCTTAGCGAAGGCTAATGTCATTGAGCATGGCAAATCTTCTGGGGTGAGGAAGAAGCCTCATGTGAACAAAGGCTCAAAGTTGGGGCCAAGGGGTGGTGTTGCAAAGAAGCCGGCATATAAGCCACAGGAACCAGGTTATCAGTTCTGGATTGCCACAGAATATGTGGGGGGAGGCAATTCTCTCCGTGAATTACATTCTGAATAAAGTACCCGGAAGAAGGTGGACAAGACCCCGTATGAGTTATGGAAAGGTGTCAAGCCTTCTTATAAATTCTTACGAATGTGGAGGTGTCTTGCAAAAGTGGCGGTGCCTACACCAAAATGGGTTTAGATAGGACTGAAATCAGTGGATTGTATATTCATTGGATATGCACATAATAGCAGTGCATATCGATTTCTTGTGTTTAAATTTGCTATTCCAGATATACACAAGAATACTATCATGGAATCAAGAAATACATATTTCTTTGAAAATGTATTTCCATGTCGTCTCCAAGAAGAGATTCAGAGTTCCATGAAAGAGGTTGAAGGTGACAATGACTACATAGCTAATCAAACAAATGATCACTTGCGTGATCAAGTTGATGATCAAGCTGAAGATGTAGATGAGCTAAGAAGGAGTAAGAGGGCTAGGACTGCAAAGTCCTTTGATCCAGATTTTTTGACTTATATGTTAGAGGGAGAACCTCGAACTTTCCATGAAGCTGTGACTTCACCTGAAAGTCCTTTGTGGAAAGAAGCAATTAAGAGTGAGATTGGCTCCATCTTGTAGAATCATACTTGGGAGTTGGTTGATCTATCCCTAGGCAGTAAGGCCTTGGAGAGTAAGTGGATCTTTAAAAGAAAGATGAAAGCTGATGGGTCAATTGATAAGTATAAAGCTAGACTCGTTATCAAAGGATACAGGCAGAGAGAAGGCTTGGATAACTTTGATACAAATTCACCTATGACTAGGATTGCATCCATTCGCATGGTGATTGCGATAGCAGCGTTACGTGGTCTGGAGATGCATCAGATGGATGTAAAGACAACTTTCTTAAATGGAGATTTGAATGAAGAAATCTACATGGAGCAACCCAAGGGGTTTTCAGCTCCAAGACAAAATAAGAAAGTCTGTAAGCTTGTCAAATCATTGTATGGTTTGAAGCAAACTCCTAAGCAATGGCATGAGAAGTTTGACAACGCTATATTGTCAAATGGATTTAGAATCAATGAGTGTAACAAATGCGTATATGTTAAAGACAGTGACAGGGGTTATGTCATTTTGTGTCTATACGTTGATGACTTAATCATTGTTGGTAGTAATGATGAGATGATTAAAACTACCGAGAGATTGTTAAACTCTAAGTTTGACATGAAAGATATGGGCCTTGCAGATGTTATTCTAGGTATTAAGATTACCAGAACATCTAGTGGAATTGTACTTTCTCAGCCTCACTATGTTCAGAAGATACTTGAGAAATTTGGTAAATCAGATACAAGTATGTCTAAGACACCGGTAGACGTAAGTCTGCACTTGACCAAGAATAACAATGAGAGGGTCTCTCGGCTAGAATATTCTAGGGTCATTGGCAGTTTGATGTATCTGATGAGCTGTATAAGGCCGGATACAGCCTACTTTGTTAGTAGGCTTAGTAGATACATGAATAATTCGAATGCTACTCATTGGAGGGGTATTATGCGGGTGTTAGCTTATCTATGCTACACCCGGGATCATGGATTGCATTATACCCGATACCCAGCGGTACTAGAAGGGTATAGTGACGCTAATTGGATATCTGATATAAAAGACTCCAAATCCACTAGTGGTTATGTGTTTACCCTCAGAGGGGCACCCGTGTCTTGGAAATCTTCCAAGTAAATGTGTGTATCGAGATCAACGATGAAATCTGAGTTTATTGCTTTAGATAAAGCAACTGAAGAAGCTGAATGGCTTTATCAGTTCGTTGAGGATATTCCACGTGGGTCCAGACCTGTGCCAGCTATCTGTATTCATTGTGACAACTAATCAGCGATTAGACGGGCACAGAGTAATATGTATAATGGAAAGTCTAGACGTATTCGTCACAGGCATAATTCCATATGACAACTACTCTCGAACAGAGTTGTCACTTTAGACTATGTAAAGTCTCAGGACAACATTGTGGATCCGCTAACCAAAGGGTTAAATCGAGTGTTAGTAGAGAAGTCGTCAGAAGGAATGGGGTTAAGTCCTTTAGTGTAAGGTGTTGCCGGAATAGAAACCCGACCTAGTTGACTGGAGATCCCAAGATCTAGGTTCAATGGGACAACCTAATTGCGTGTAACGATGGTATGTCACTGAGGAGGTTAATCCTTCAGCCATTCCTTTAAGCAGTGATACCTACGGGGTAAAGGTTAAGCAAAGCTTTTAATGACTCTTATGTGTTGAGAATTCAAACAGGGTATAGCAGGATACCTTAAAGAGTCACCTATGTGAGTGTGAAGTGGGGCCACTTCTAAAAGAATTGGGAAGGCCAAAAATTCTTTGAAACCACTTTGTTGAACTAGGCTAGTGCTTAGGGCCATACAGGGCACACCAGTGAGAATAGAATGGTGGTAGGAGTAATTCCTGTGTGAGATCTATTGTCTCAGTTTACATAAACGGCAGCGCAGTTCAAGATGTCATATTCACTGATCAGCCAGTAAACTCGATAGGTTTTCACTGGGATAAGGTTCAAAGCCAAAAGCTACCTTCTCTAATGTCAGGGTTAGTCTGTTGGACTCTCTCTCCGAGTCATTATTGTTGAACGGTGTCCGTTTGTTGAGTCATTCAGTCAATTTTTATTCATGTGGGGGATTGTTGGAAAAAAATGGATTTTTGGTGACTTTAATTAAATATTAAAGTGGGTCCCAACCATCTATTGTGTTTGGTCCAAGTGGGTCTAGATACTTTGCAATGAGATCTTTACACCACAAATAGAATGGCCAAAAACCATTGAGAATTGAATTAGAAATTGCCCCATGAAGTTAGCTTTATGAAAGAGTTAATGAGGTTTGTAACTTCTGCCTTTATTGTAGAGTTGAATAGTGCATTAATGGGATTTGTAACTCCTGCCTTTATTGCAAAGGTTAATGGTGCATTAGTGACCAACCATAAAGGCTGGAGGCTTCTCCTTTCTCCCCTATACATGTATAAATTGAGACCCTTCTGTCAAGTCTCAAACACAAAAATTGTTTCTTCCATTCTTTAGTCAGTTTGTTAGAAATTTCTTACAGTGAGAGAGTGCTACCACGGTTTTGTTCGCTAAGTTAGACAGAGAGTGCTTCTGCCATAGCTAGTTTTTGATCGTCGTATCCTGGGAGACGGACGCCAGAATTCCTCAAGCACTCGACCCGTGAGGTGGCAAAATATGTTTTAAGGAAACTGCTACCGTGCAGGCTTCAGTTTGGTTTCTTTACCATTTTGTTGTATTGTGTATTTCTGCTGTAATTTAGTTATAATTATCAGCATATGTTCTTGGTATATAATTTTGATTTATTCGTGAATTTATTTATTTAATTTCACAATTTGAACAACAGAAATAATATCAAAAAGAAAAGAATTACAATATACATTTCTTTTTTTGATCAGCAAAGAAAAGGGAAACTTTATTGATGGGATGATCAAAACCAGAACAAAATACATCAATAAAGGAGGGAGGTGCAAAAAAAATCATAGCTAACATTCCACAATCCCAACTAGGTTGGCACCAAGGAGGCAGCACAATCATCTGCTAGCACACAACCCATAGATTAGCAAAAAACTAATCCAAAAAAGAGATACAAAACCAAACACAAAAATAAAACCAACCAACCATACAACAATCTGCTCCAGCAACTCATAGCTAATGCACCAGCAAATTCCTGCGAAACAAACCAAATGAACTACCAACTGTCCTCTCTATCAGATGAGCAACCCAAAATTACACTTTGTGACAAAACCCAACTGCCCAAAATTTCACTTTGTGACAAAACCCATTATTGAATACCTGATCTGTTGTAAGTTGGACAGACAGAGCAGCATCTCAACATCTCAGTAGCAACATGACAAAACCAACATGACAGAACCAACTAGCAAAACCACCAGCAAAACTAGCTTAACCTTATGCTCATACCTGCTGCCAATGAGATGTTTTTAAGCCCATCAAACCAATTCCAGCAGAAGTAATACCCAGAGAACCCAGCCAACTATAGCAGCTTTTGATCAACAAACCTCTGCACAACTGGAACCTCACTACAACCTGATCTGGTGGAGATTGGAACCAATATACATTTTATATATTCCATACACTTTTATATATGACATATTTTTTTTTACATATACACCAATAGTTATCACCGACCATTGAATGGTGGTGTTTACTAACAATTTTTCAACTACTATGATATTTATGGAACCAATGAATAGATAGAAGCATGCCTCAGGTTGTGAAATGGACACCGCAATATGCAGCATAGTGTTGCCTTGCCTCCCTCGTCTGTCAAGCACAACACCTCACCCTTGTAGGTCTTTTGAAGCCATATCAAGAGGAATTGAAGAGTGTAAAAACTAGAGCTTTTCACAACAATGTGCAATGTAGTCTCTTCATGAATTGTCATGTCATTTATAGACGACGAGCAAACATCTAGAAATTTAGACAAAAGATCAACTTTTTGATCTGCAAAAGAAAGCTTTATTGATGAAACACATACAAAGTATGAAGAAAAAAAACATCAATAAAGATTAACTTGATCGTCTGTTTTGGCTACAAAGTGCAGAGGAGTGAGACCCTCCCTTCCTTTGACACGGATGAGTTTACTGTCGAACTTGATGAAACGTCTCACAATGTCAGAATGCTTGTTTTGCAAAGCCAAGTGCAAGGGGCTTAGCCTTTCTATATTCAACTTCTTCTGAATGATGGCTTTAATCTCAAGATTTCTAAGGCGAAATTGGTTTCTCCAGGTGACGCGGCTACATGTAGAGGAGTCTCCACAAAAAGTTCTTTGTCCAAAATGTCCGGTTTCGACTGAATTATTGCGTACAAGTCATTGATATTTCCTGCTCGAGCTATCCCTCTCAAATCGGGATCCATTATGTGCAATGATTTTCAACACTATTAAAAAGTGATGAAAGAAAACTAGGAAAAAAACATACACAGGTCTTTGTTCTTTTTCTTTTTTAAAACTAGTTTTTTTCATATGCGGTAGAGATTCAACTATTATAATATGAGACTTACATTTTAAATAAATCTCAACCACACAAATATCTGTCAATTATTTGTGTTTTTCAATTTCTGCCAACAGAAAAAGATTTCGTCAAAAAAAAAGGTAATTAATTGGTATATTTCAATTAAAAGAACTTTTCAACTTCCAAGTATTCAAGACTATATAGCAAAAATATCAAGGAAATATCTTATCAGAAATAAAAATTAAAATAAAATTGGTACACATAAAGCAAGTAACAAGAGTAATGATGAATTGCAGATGTTAGATTCAGGAAAAAAAAAAGAAAAAAAAAGAAGAGGAAGAAGAAGAAAGAATGCTAAATTGGATATATAAAGAAACTCATATGGTTCAGATTGTTTACTTCACAACCCAAGTGGATGCCCTGTGAACAAATTATGGAAGACACAACAGGAATTGGACGTAAGAGACTATTCATTTCTGGATTTTGAGGGCATGTATATATAGACTGAATAATACTTGGTAACTCAAAAACCATTGGCCTGAATTGGCTCAAATACCCAAAACGACGTCGTTTTGGGTATTCCTCAGATGGAGAGAAGGGGGAGGAAGAGAAAAAGGAGATGGTGATGGCGGCATCGATTGGTGGCTCTCTCTCTCTCTCTGCCGGTGGGTGGCCCTTTCTCTCTCTCTCTCTCTCTCATATATATATATATATATAGATGTGTGTGCGTATAGATCTGTGTATACACACAGATCTGGTATCAATGATGATGTGTGTGTATAGATCTGGTGGCTCTCTCTCATATATATATATATATGTATAGATATGTGTGTGTATAGTTCTGTGTATACACA